CAAATTTCACAAATTCCAAGAGTGAGTGTACATGTACATGTACGTGTACATGCACTGTGTGTATGTACTGGTATTTCATGTAACACTGCAGCACTGTGAGTCTTCATACATGTACGTACATGTACATGTACATGTATACATGTTCTTGTTACACCACAGTCATAGATACCGGTAGTGACTATTTATTGGTCACAAATTGATCACATGATATGCCACAAGCACGCACGTATCATTTTCAATCAAGTGCACTGGCAATGTTTTGCAACAAAAAAAGATGAATAACAGAAATCTTTCCCACAGTTGATGTGTCGTGTCCACTGCATTATATGTAAGTGTGTAGCCTTGGATGGATATATGTACGGTAGCCGCACTGGTACCACGCTGTAATCATTGTAGATGTGCTGTGTGGACTGCGAGCACTCACATGTGCTACTCTCTGACCATGACCGAGATCCTTGGGTTTTTAGACTTGCGTTCATGAGCCCAGCTATGCTTCGTGGAACACAAGTACTGTACCTGTAACATGTTCTAATTGCTATTTCTCCTGTGACCACCATTGTTATACTTGCATACACGTAAACATTCATGTCACTGTTGCTTCTCGTTTGCTCTACAATCTAGCCAAAAATTTTCACAGGAATTCCGTGTAAATAATGTCTTTAAATTAAAACAGTTGGCAAAAAAAGTTAAATGTATCAATTGTGTTCTATTCAGTGTACAATGTCTACGCAAGTCTGGACACAACATACAGTACATGTACATTTGCATACAAGACAAGAACATGTACCTGTACATACCAGTACATGTATACCACAAACTGTGAATCAACCTCCAATGGATTCAATTTTTTTTATTTCAAGGTATTGCATAGATTCAGATTAAATGCGTCTTAGGAAATTGCCTGCTGTAAGGCTTAACAATTTCTGACGGTTTGTTACACATATTTTTGTTACACATACAGTGTATATAACGTGATCCAACACCTGGTTTGGTAAAATCACTCACAATGCCAGTTTTACAGTACTGAGGCCTTTACATGTACATCGTACATGTATTTGTGAATATGACTGTATGTTTTTCAGCTATTTCTGTTATATGGTTTGGCACTCACCTGCATGGCACGCACATGTATGTATACATGTACATTTGTACATCCTCACTAAAATCTCCCAATGAATATGTGCCAGAAATTTATAAACAGGTACATGTACAGGATCATACCAATGGGAAAGGAGTACACTGACTGTACTCTCCTGTTTGAATGACTAGATTTACCCAAGGATACAGGTGCGGTATGTAATGTGGGCACTTCCCAGACTGCTAACACATTAACCCTAACCCCCTAGGCCCTTTTTGCTATGGACCTTCCTCAATCCTCCAAAATCCTCCAATTTGGGGGATGAAAATCCTCCAAAAATCCTCAATCCTCCGAAATTTTTGAAAACGTTAGTTGGAGGTGTGCCTTCTGCCTCAATCCTTCAAAATCCTCCAGCAGAGTGAACAGCATTCTTGAGCAGTGCGGTTGATTCAAACCAAATATTGCCCTGAGTCTATGCATGACTGAGCAAAAATGGCACAAGGTGTAAACCATGACCTTCATGCATGGCATCCTTCGCAATAAGCCATGCATCTTTGCAATTCACCCTCAATTCTCCCAAATCCTCCAAAACCACCCGGAGGATTTTGGAGGATTGAGGAGAGTTAGGGTTAAGGTGACTTTTTTTGGGGGGGGGGAAGTCTGATTGGGACAAAAATTTCTCTCCATGTTTTTGGTGCAGACAACATCTTTGATTCAACATGTGTTATTCCCACAATATACATGTACAGAATAGGCATGTGTGTTTAGCAGTGTAGACACATGTAGCAAACAACATCTAACTCTTCATGTTCTATGGACTGGAATTTCAGTCTGTGTTGAACAGGTTATTTTCATGCAAGAGGTGCATGAGGACAAGCATGGAGGTAGGAACCACTGAATGAATATGACTTCACGTAAAAAAGTCTTTTGTTCAACACATTCACATGTTGCACAATTTTGCCTGCCACAGTTTATAAAGTAATTTCATGATACATTGCTGGGACAAGAATATCTGTAATATATACATTAGATTGCAAATTTTCATTGGTCAAGAATCGATCATGAATATACACGTACATGTATTGTACATAGGTCAGGAATACAATATAAATATTGTATGTACAATGTACATGTACGTACATGAGCGATGTATCGGTATGCTGTGTTGTGTGAAAGATGCACCACATGGGGTTTATTACCTCGACCCTTGCACTGTGGAAAGTGTTGTTACCAGAGCGTTGTACATGTACATGTATTATACCGGTATTAGTGTGACCTCGGATACCAGGGTGGCAGGTCTCAACCTTTGATAAGATTTTTTAATTGGCCCACCAGGTGAGTTATTTTTTACTAAGAGATGCCGACAGTTTTAAAACTGAAAAGTGGAGAATTAAAAACTACTACAATTTTTTAACTGAAAAATTACCCAAAAGGCTACAGTCCTAGGCAAAATTGCTGGGACACTTGGCAATAGCCATACACTCTCCAGCCCCCTCGCCCACTTCTTCCTGCTCATGTTGTCATGTCCAGCTGAAGCACAGACCGCACGCATAGTGGGGTTGTGCCAAATATCCAAATATTCGATCGCTCTTCAAATATTTGAATACAATTTTCAAAATTTGAATATTTGAATGCAAAATTCATGATAAGGGAGAATTTTTTTTTGTTTTAAACCAGAAAAATTGCACTGTGGAGGCTTGCTTCAAGCTAATTCAAATAAAGTGACAGAAATGTTATGATTCAAAAAGTAAATTATTCATTTAAAAATTTCAAAGGAATAGACATTTTCAACAGGGCAATAAGTATTGGTCATCTCTTAAATCCTTCTAAAATGTGGCTGGAGATACATATGAGATACATGTACCCCTACATGTAGATATGAGAAGATATTATAGTGGCTATAGTGTATTATTATGTGAATTATTGCAACTGATTTTGTTTGTTCATCAACAATCTGTTAGTCAGTACGACTGAATATTTGAATATTCAATTGAATTGAAGGTCGAATATTTGAATAGTGAATTATTCAAATTGACTCAGCCAAAGCACACAGACCTAACACTGAAAGGGGGTTTGGGGGTTGGAGGCCCAAGAGATTCATCCAGGATTGTAGCACTGTCTACTAACAAGCAGAAATATTACTGATGGTTTAAAAATCACTCTCACTAGTTTTTGAGTCTGGGTCATCATAACTAAAATAGGTGTAAAGTGTCAGTGCTGTGACTCGTCCTAATCATCATGTCTGTACACTCGTCTTTTGTGTTTTGGTAGTCAGCATCATTCTCTCTCTTTTTTAAAACATTGTGCAACAAACTTGACATATTTACATGTAGGCATTGTCAAAAGATGATGAGCTTTCTTCCAAACACCTGCATGCATGGCTGTCATGGACATCATACCAAACCAGGTTGCAAGGCCCTTGACCAGCTTGCGTAGAACGTGTATACATGTTCATACATGTACCTACATTATATAACTCTAACCTGCCCTAACCACACAGAATTCAACAGCAGTAAAGTGTATGCGTTTGTGGCATTGGGTACTGGTATATGTACATGTAGCTTACAATCTGGTGTTTAATTTTGTGTGAATGGGTACTGTGGGCCTGTATATGTACATACTCTGATGAATTTTGATTGAATGGGTACTGTGGCCCTCTCACTTGTTACCTTCACTTTTTACCATCAAGAATTTCAAATGAGTACTGTATTTTTAAAGACTGTTTAATTGAAATGGTAAGTATGATAGTATGTAATATTATGTAATAAATACCATAACAAGGACATCTTAATTGTTTCTGACCACAATGATCCCAGTGCTGGGGATGGATATGCAGCATGATATGTGTAAGTTTGTTTGAATACACTGTAGGTACTGCCTGTGTATACTCTTTGTACTGTGCAGTGGGCCTGCTGTACCCAATCAAACAAATCATGTACATGTAGGTAAAGACCTGTTGGAGTTTGTGTGATTGGGTACTGTTGCAGCAAGAGTACTGTTGAAGTCTGTGGGATTGGGTACTGTGAGGTAAGAATGTTTTTCCAAGGTTTTGAAGTTTGTGTGATTGGGAAAGGTTAGATCCAGCAACCCTTGGGTGGTTAGGGTTAAACTACATAGATCTGAGCTGACCAGTGTAGAAAGGTCAAGTGGGTTATTTATCAAAACTTGGAATCCATAATTTTCCCTACTGTGTTGAAGGCTGAGGGGATGATTTATACTCTACTTCATGAGAAAGTGACAACGAATACAAGCATAGCTTCTTAGCAGTAATGTGCCAATCATGTTCAGCCATGTTGACCATGGGTCCAACTTGTCCATACTACATATGCCATGCAACCGGGTCCCTCACTAGTCACAATTCCAACGGTAAGTTTATACACACTCCATCACATATTTATTTCCTGAGTCATTCAACATGGCCTTGTGATAGGAACAGGGTTCGCAAATACACAACCCCCTCGGACTACCCCTCCCCCTCCAACTGTTGGCCTGATCGTTGGCCTAAATCAGCTAAACATTATTATATCACCAACATCTGACACAGGGGCTAGTCAGTAGGAGACTGGTCTGAAAAATTCTGAATGTTTTTTAAGTGAATGCTTCAAATTATAGAACGTTATCAATTTCTAATAGCTGATAAACCACTGCAGGGAAAAATTAGTTGTTTCCATGTTTACAATTCTTCCCCCAGGGTCAGAACAACAAACATTCTGCCCTATACATGCATGACATGATACAGCATGGTATTGTGATAAATTATACATAATGTATTTTGGGCAAGTCATCACATTCAAAGGAGTACATGTACTGATCTACATACATACATCGCTGGGTATACATGTACAAAATCCTCCAGCAAAAGCTTTAAGAAATTTGAAGTCGCCAGCATTCAATTTAGCAGCAGGTCAATCATGCTACTCACCCGCAAGCTTGCCAGTGCCAACATTCATGTACACCATTGCTAACACTATGAAGAAAAGGAAGGCACATCCCAGCAGGATCATGGGTACATAATGGCCAATCCTAGCACCAAGGCTGCTGGCAGAATGGTCCTCAGTTGCGAACTCCTCATATAGATTCTCCTCTTCTTCTTGAAAACTAGAGCTACATGTAGACCTGGGAGCCGTACTTGCTGATTTAAAATTGGTTGGTTGTGAACTTGATAAGTGGCCTCCAGACATGTGATTGGATTTGGAGTTCAGAAAAACAGAACCTGATGTTTTGGGAGCTGATTTATTTTTTGCTTTACTTGAATTTGGTGTACTGTGATCAAAGTCGGGGTATCGTGAGTTGAGACTGTTTCTTGGTTCTGGGGCAAGAACTTTACTGTTGTTTTGAGTGGCGCTAAATTTGCTTGTGTCTATTTCATCATCGTACGCATCTGACAAACGAAGGCGGTTGTCAGATTTACGAGGAGTGCTGGTCCTTGGGGTTGACGTGGGGAGACTTCGACGTGGAGAGGGTTTTGATGTAGACCACCAAAGACCCAAAGATCGCTTACCAGTCTGTGATAAATCGCTGGCTTCATGATCTTTTGTGTATGTCTGGTTTAAGGGGTTTGTTATGTGAGCTGGTTCTTCATTAATTTCTTTGCTGGTTGATGTATTTGTTGCTTTTGTATTGACTGCACTGCCAGTGTTAATTTCCGCATCTTCTGCATCATCCTGATCATTTCCATCCACATCAGAGTCCGAAAAGTCATCTTTCTTTGGCGTTACCGAGACTTTAGCAATGGTGACTCGGTTTGCCGGGTGGCGCACGTATCTTTCTGCCCTTGATTTGTTCCCTGCTTCGGGGAGTGATGACCTACCACTCGGTAAAATACCCGTAGAATATCTCTTCGATTTGGTACTGGGATTTAAGCTCGAACTGCCTGAAGCAGGCTGTTTTGCGCGTAAATCCACGTGTTCATCAGCTGTTCCGTTATACGGAGTCTGCGGCCACGCTTTGGTGCTCCTTCGCCGTAAAGCTTTGCTTTGGCTAGGCATGGAGCGACGCCGATTGCTCCCCGTCGCTGATGACTCGCCGTCGCTTTCATCAGAGCTGAACCCCAGCAACTTGCGGCCTGGGATGGGTGGTTTTGGTGCTGTTGCTTTCAATTTCTCCTCAACTTGGAGCTCCCCCAATTTCTTCAAGTACACTTGGCGGGTTGAGTCTGTTACAGGGCCAGCTTTGAAGCCCAAACGCTTCAGTTCGGCTCGAAGCTCTTGATCTGTTAGAGCAGTTTGGCCCGATGCCGCCATTTTGCCCGTTGGAACTGTTTCAATACCCGGATGGTGTGTAAGCCTGTCCGGTCCTGCCATGCCACGCATATGTGCATAAAGCTTAAAGCACAATGTACAGTGATATACATGTACAAGGACATGTGCATGTACAATGTACATATAATGCGCAGGTTGGTACGGTGTTCTATTAAGGCCACGTTATGCAGCACGGTGAGAGTTGTTTTGCAGCGTAGCGTGGTGAGTGTTCATAAAGAAGCGAATATGATGTCACGAAAAAATTGCAGCGAAATTTCGTTTGATTTGAATTGTGTTCAAGTCGATAAATTGTAGCGTGAATATTTGATTGGCAGCGAAATTTCGTTTGATTTGAATTGTGTTCAAGTCGATAAATTGTAGTGTGAATATTTGATCTGACGTCACAAATTCGCTTTCGTTTTCGCTTTGTACAGCCTTTACGCAGCGTCCTGGAGAGTCCCTTTTTGTATCGATCCCATCTGATCTGGTGGTAGGTTCCAATTTTTCTGCATTTGGGGGAATGATAACAAGAGGTCGCCGAGTTTGTTTTAATAGGCCTATAGCCTGAAAGTTTACTTCTGAAAGTTGACTGCCACCGGAAAGCTTGGGTAGGAAACATCACGTGCAACATTTTTAGAACTTGTGTTTTTCTTGTGTTGACTTCGTTTTTAAAAAAAAAATCTCCTTAAAATATAGCTATGAGCATATTAATTTACAGAAATTGAAAAATTCCTGATCTCAAAAGGAAATAATTGACCCGTCTCTTCCCAAATGTGACAGTCAGTGTACTACGACTCGGTACTCGAACACATATGAAATACAATGAAGCAACTTTGTGATAGTCTTTTAGACAAAGCTTAAATAAACAAGAGAACAGCATTTTAGGATCAAATTACATTTAAAATCATTTAAAGTTAATTTTTAAGTTCATTTCTCTGCCCACCCCGATTTTTTATATATATTTTTCATGTTTTTCTCTGTCTAAAACATATTTCCCCGAGTAAACCTCTCGTGAAATTGAGAAGAAAATTGTCCTGGTGATTATAATTTGAGTTTCTAATAAAACGACGTCATACTTTTCCTGGATGTTACCAGGCTACGCTATTTCTCACGGATTTCAGGCCCGTAACTAGGACTTTTCAACTAAGCGGACCAAAGCACAGATCTTTTGCTTTTTTATTTTGAAAAAAGCAGGATTGACCAAGGCGATTGACCAAGGCGAAAAATACCGAAGTGTGCGGCATTGGTTTGCACAAAATGTTCTACTACAGCTCGACATATTTTCCTGCCTCAAAAGTGCACCTATTAGTCACGTGGGGGTGCCTCCCTCCCCGCAGCCCTAAAAAAGTTACTGGCCTGAATAGTTTTATGCTGCTATCGATTGGTGCATGCACGTACTTAGTGTGATCACTACGCCGCTAAACAACAGCCACCGTGCTACCAAACAACTCTCATCGCGCTGCGTAACAATACCTCCCACGTTGCCAAACAACACTCTTTCGCTGTGAAAGAATACTTATCGTGCTGAGCGTAACGGGGCCTTACTAGTACACCATAGGTTGGTCGTATCTGTCACCCATGGTCCAGCAGGACGTGGCTGCTGTCGCTAACTTTTCGAGACTGCAGCTGACTTGAAGGTGTATGTTATTTCCAGCCAGAAAAAGAAGAAACAAACAGTCATGACGACGGACTTCGAAAACCATATCTCGTAAAAACTGTTCTTTTCGAAAAGTAGAAACAATGTGTCTGAACAAACAACTTACCAAAAATAGCTTCTATTTCAAATTTTTGAAAATGTTCACTTCATTACACTAGTGGGCTTTCCTACGTCGAAGGATAAGTTTTGTTTTATTCGTTGTTTTCCCCTTTTTTTAATATTATTGACCCTGGGTGGTACAATAATATGCGAAGTCTGGTTCCCTAACTAAAGATTTCTTGACGTCTCTGGTTAGGTATCACCCACGAAATTAATCAAGATGCAACATGTCAAAAGTCACTCATTACTACAAGGAAAGCCCTGGGTAGGTCCTATGTTTAGACGAACAGTCACTTTGAAAACAAGGGAGCAACATTGTCTTGCATTGTCATTAGCTACAAGCAAAAGACAAAATATATACGCGTGTATCTCATCATGGGAGGGGGGGTTCAGGTTGGCGAAGTGGTTCCTTCCTGGCCTTCCACCTCTGTGATCCTGGGTTCGATTCCCGGCTCGGTCCACAGCGGTGGATTGGGTTTTCAGTCGCTGCCTGATTTCGTGGGTTTTCTCCCATTGCCCACTAAAAGTGTAATTTCTTCTCATTGTCTCACTCCTGCAGACTTTCGAACTACAGTTCCTAGAACAATTTTAAGGAGTCCTTAAGGAAAGACTTAATGGATTAAAAAAACTATGCATACACACACAGATACAGACTTCCTCATTGCTGAAAATATTATCACTACACTTTATTCGTTCATCCAAAATTTATCAAGATAACCAGTGATTTGAAATATATCGCAGAAAGACACGTGATCAGTGATGCGTAGTAAGAAGATAAATTATCGTGATTGTAGGACACAATCATGTTGCTATTGGCTAACAAAAACGTGAAATAACGCTTCGCTAACAGGAAGTGATAACCTTGCGGTCGGAGGTCGTGCACATAGTAGCCAATCACAGTGCAAAGCCGCCCGAACAGGGGCGCTCCAGGCGAACAGGGCGCTGGGCCGGGAAGGGCTGTTCGGGCGCTGGGCGACGAGCGAAGCGCTGGGCCGGTGAAGTATGGTGTTACAGACGACACGTCTCCGTCACTGTCGCATTTTTCTCATTAACTTGTGCACAGATACTTTTGTCGCCGTCGCGAGCAAGTCAGCCCCATATTGTGAGCTTTTCTCCATCTTTTATTCCTCCCTGGTAGGAAAATATACCGCAAATGCGCGGGCTGGAAATTATAAGCAGTGCATACTGTACCGGGGGGGGTGCCTGAAAAACAACCGTAAGGCAAATTCAGCTTATGCCCCCCGTTAAAAAAAATGCATTAGGCCTACGCCCCCCGCCCCTTGCAAAAATTCTTCACAAAAATAAACCTTTTAGATATTCTCAATGCATCTTGGATATGTATGAACAATCCACACATGCACAATCCTACGGGGAAGTTGTTGTTGGGACAGGGTTAACTGCGCCAAGAGCAATAAATTCTTTATTCATCAGCATCCTCTGGATGATGGATAGGAACCTGTCAGAAAAATCTTTTTTTTTTCAAAAAAAAAGTCATTGTACTTGGTCATCAAGACATAGGGCTTACACAAGCCCAGCAGAAGTTTCCAAAACACAAAGAAATTTTTGATAAATTTTCGAGATGAAAAACAGGCCTAGCCCTACATGTTTTATTTTCATTAAGGGCACCAGTGCAGTCATTTTTGCAGAAAATGAATGTGATCGGTTAAGGATGGATTCGTAGACTCTACGGTTGCACTTCACCAAGTACGCGCCCATAGAAACCAGTGCAATATCAGACAGAATTAGCACCGCCTGTTGACTCTCGGGAAGGGGTTGCAAGCCTCAGTTTTTTTTCACTGGAAATGCAAAATTATGGCCAGAAGATCACTTTTCGTTTCAATTTTATGGGGATCAGCCACGGATTTTTTTCCTCACCTTTCCTCGAAGATACCCGCAAAATAGTAGTAAAACTATCAGAATGAAGCCGTCCGCCTCTATCCAAAATAGCCCCGCAATTCTTTGATATAGTTGGGGCTTTTTGTGAAAGAAATACCCTTAACTGGAAACTATCAGTCCCAAATTCGGAAGTTATAGAAATATTTTTATGATCCCTCCTGATTATGGCATGTCTTATTGTAAAAAAAAAAACACAGTGGGATTACAAAATATTTATGAGCTCTCACACAGAAATATAACCATTTAGTGGAACGCACCCTACACTAATGCCGGGCATTTGCGATACATGTACATGTACTGTATATACCATGGAGGAATAGAAAGATAGAGATCTCAAAACATGGGGCGCCCTCATGAGCCCACTTGTTAACAACCGCGACGGCGACGTGACGTGTCGTCTTTGGAACACCATAATGACGAGCGATACCGGCCCCTTAANATTCAAACTCCATTGAAAATAGTGTAAAATCAACCAAGTTTGGAGCCCCATGGCAGGCAACTGAAGTCCCTGAGGCCTATCACACAAAAAACAATATGTTGTTTGGTCCTTCAGGTTTCATTTGATTTTCAGTTTTTAGTAGGTTAACCAATGAATTTTTTAATTATCTGCCCAAATCAAACTCACCCCCCAAAAAGTGAATGTTGCCAAGCCCTCCCACCGGCCATTTTTCAAATGACATCCCTAACCTTCCTAGGGCTCAAACAGACCCCTCTTTTCGAAACAATCTCTGGAAGTACTTTTTGTGTGCCTCCGCCTGGCGGAGAATTCTCCTTGAATTGGGACACTGCACCCTAATTCTACGAGCATATTCGGAGTCATCGGGTCTGGTATCCAGACTATATTATGTGAAGTAAATATCAATGTCGACAAAATGCTTGGTGGCGCTATTGAATTTATTTTGCAGACCTTTGGGTTTCAGGCCCGTAAATAAACTGCCACAGCAAACAGTGATAAATATCCGAATTTCAAAAAATCAGGACTAATATTCCCAAGTTTTTCAAGCGTGCAAGACGTAATCAAATTAAAGCCAAGTTTGTGATTTTCCATTTCCTTTTCAAGTTTCCTTTCATTAACAAAATCGCAGCTTTTGAAATTCTCTAGTGAATGATGACTTGAAACCTCTAAAGTAAAGGACATGGAAAGAGTAAATAAGACATGATTTACTCCTGGTATACAAAACAAGCACGCTACAAACACTCGCTGCTCCTCTAGCAAATTTGAAAGTACACACTGCAAGTGTCGGTCTGGTGCACGTGCGCGGTGGGATAAATTTTCATTAGCAGGTTCTCTGGGCGTCCTGAGACGCATTGCGCATCATTGAGCTTGACTTCAAACTTATAAAGACGCAATAATGGGGCCAGCAAACGTCATTCCGTCTCTCAGAGACATAACCAGATGTAATAGCCTATCCAGGGACGAA